GTTGACGTCAGACCAGTAAACGGAACATCCTAACAATCATCATAGGTATCTCGGGGACCACATAAAATTTCTTAGGGCTCTTGATACTTAAATTTGTCCAAGTACATTTGATTCGTATGGGGATTTTTCTGGGTCTCTCCAGTTGTTGAGTGCTTCATCTATCCAGATCAACCTAAGACCAGGCGTTACTGCGTAACGGTCCGAGTTGCCACACCTCTTATCAGTACATCGAGTAAAAAGGCAATGAGGCGCGAGATGAAGATAAGAGAATGCAGTCAAAAGAAATATAAAGTACGGAAAGAGAGAAAAGAAGAATGAGAAAGTGCTGAGACTCGGTATAGCGTTAAGATGAGGATAATGTATGTATACATCTGCGCCACTGACATCGGTTCTCAGCCAGATCACCTAGAATCTCCAACCACTGGTTCCTCTTGTCCCGCCGACCCCGACCACCTAGTCTGCATCGCCCCACATGCCTCAAACCAACAGTCAAAGGCTTCATACATTGGTGCCATGTTTTAGTCTGGCCACCTCGGGCCTTTTTCTAGCCTGGGCCTACTTCAACCATTATGTAACGAGGCAGTCGGTGACTAGGCATACGTAACACGTGTCCCAACCATCTCAGTCGATGAAGGTCCATATCTTCGTCAACAGATTTACCTCTTCTCCCTAAAACTCTACTGACTTCTGCGTTACTCACGTGGTGACGCCGCGGAATACGGCGGCCTATACTACGAAGGCAACGGTGGTCAAACACCTGAAACCAGCCTTCTCATATCTTCCACCTTTGATGGCCATGTTTCGCAGCCATACAGTAGAACAGACCGGACTGCTGTGCAGTATACACAACCCTTAGTAGACAATCGGATATCACGGCGGCGCCATAGGTGGCGTAAATTGGCAAAAGCCAACCGAGCCTTTTGTATCCGTGCAGAGATCTCATCGGCAACTAACCTACCAGGGTTGATCCTACTTCCCAAATAAGTGAAGTGGTCAACACACTCAACCACTTCACTCTCTATTGTTGGCCAAGGGACCGTTGAAGACCAATCGTGGAGCAACAGTTTGCATTTGGGTGGTGGGAAACGCATCCCAAACATTCTCAAATTCCCACTCAGTGTTCAGAAGACTCTGCATCTTGTCAGCGTCTTCACCTAACGGGACAATGTCATCTGCATATCCTAGGTCCAGCGGAAATTCTCCTGTGATTAGGTCAACGTCTGTGTAATTAGGCGACGAGAGGGAAACCATAAGAAAATCTGTGATAAAATTGAATAAGAATGGAGAGAGTGGGCACCCTTGACGGACCACGTGATGAGTACAGCTCACCTGACCTCTCGCCATAGGCTCTAACACGCCCGCAAATGTTGAGTACCACTTATTTTATGTGATGCAAGGACAGATATTAGTTGCACCTGACATTGTCTAGTGATTTAGTGAGATGGGTACATGCTAGATGTCATGAAATTGTAGAGTATGAAATTTCAGATGGGTATTGTATTTCTAAATCCTTACATGTCGAGCTAAACATCTTTGTTGGGTCCCATGAAGTGTTAAGTTTTCTGAGAAGAGGAATTAGTTGATTTCTGTTAGGTGAGATGATCACATGTTTACGGAAGTCGGATAATGGCAGTTGTAGAAAGCGTCGTAATATTTGGTCGTTCATTTGTGCCTACAATAAATAGCAGGGGTCCGAGAGGTTGCTTTTTACTCTGCACTGACTTTAAATGGCATAACTGGTAACTGACGCTTGGTCACTGCTCCTACTAACAAGGAACTCTCATCCATGGATATGGTTCGTCACTGATTCTTTGTTAAGAACGTTTATTTACCAAATATGGAAGTTATAAAACGAAACGACCAGTTTTAAGAACTCAAAACTTAGTAAATTTCTTTGGTTGTCTGAAAACGCTCAGGTTCAAACTCCCCTTGGCAGCAGCAGTCGCGGCACAGTAGTGTTCTGCCTGGCATTCAGGCAACAACTGTCACGGGAGGGATCTCGTCCTTGTCTTTGCTACAGCGAGGCAAATTACGTGGCGATGAACCGACATCCGTCGACGGCACCATGGCTCCAGGATTGGAGAAGCCTTTCGATTGTTCAACATTGGGAACTAGCTGGATATCATCGAGGCGGCTATCTCTGAGAACGTACCAGCAATCACAGAAATACCGAGGAGGCGAGCCTTATGGTTGAAACAAGGCACTGAACGGCTTTTTAAAGCCGAGAGGAAGGCACGGCACGAGTGGAGGAACTCCAGAAAAGAGTCTGACCACGCCGCGTGCATGACCCTGAGAAATCGACACAACATCAAAGTGAGGGGAGACGGGAAGCCGTTCCAGACGAACCCCGCCCAGGAGCTGGAGGTGAACCCCAAAAACTATCGATTTATGGCAGGCAGAGTGTCCACCAGCCAAGGGTCTTGGATCCTGAAGGGACTGAACGGATAGAACCTTCCCGGACTGGAGGTCATCGAAGCCTGTAGCGCCGCCTCCGACACGCAGCTGAACACGTTTCCATCTAGCCGAAATTGCCAACTGCCCGAGCATCATTCAGCACCACCAAATGCGGTTGAGTTGCATGGAACAAAGTTAACTCCTGTTATAGTCATCGAAAAGCCACCAGAGCCCCGCATAGGGAAATCATCGGGACGAGATGACAGCTGGCCGGTTGTGTTGAAGCAGTGAGCAGGTATCTTGTGCGGCCCTCTGAGTAATCCGTTTCAAAACTCCCTAGACAATCACACGCTTCCACGAGAGTGGAAACGTGTAATTCTGTCCGCCGCCTTCAAAGGAGGAGATAGGCGGAACCCAGTGCTATCGACCCATAGCCCTTCCACCACTGGTGTCAGAAGTAATGAAGAGCCTGGTAGACGACCATGTCAGAGAGTGCTTGGAAAAGAGGGGAGCACTAAGTGATGCTCATCATGGTTTCAGAAGGGGTAGATCCTGCGCCTAAAGCATTCTGGCGGCCGGTGGTAAGTGGGCGGCATGTTGAGACCTCCGAATTCCTGTTCATGTCATTTTGCCGGATTATGCCAAGGCCTTTGACACAGTTCCGCACGCCGTTCTTATTCACACGATATCAAGGTTGGGCATCAAGGGTCAAGTGCTCTCCCGGCTACAGGACTATTTAGACGGCATACACCTCCTTACGGAAGCCAACTGAGTTTGCTCGACCTGTAGGATACCACCATCTGATGTGCGACAAGAAGCGATTCTGGGTCCACTTCTGTTCCTTCTTTTTGTGAACGACCTCCCACTGAATCTCAGCTTCCCAATTCTGCCTCACGCTGATGACACTAAGATGTGGGGAGCGATGACGTCCGAAACAGAATCAAACGCACTACAAAGTGATCATAGATTAATTATACAGTAGTGGATTTTAATGAACTAGCATTTAATCCGGACAAGCACCGAGCCACGTTTCAGAGCACAGCTGACTCTTGGAGAGCACCCTATTCTGTCTGCGGGACACAACTTTCCCATACCACCAGAGAGAGACCTAGGACTAATACTGACTGACAAGCCAGACACTAGCTCTAATTATCTAGGAGACACCTCCAGCGCCTACGCAGTACGGCACTTCATGTGCAGACAACTAGGTGCCTTTACCCTGGAACTCTTTTTGAAGTTTTACAAGACCTACATACGACCTCACCTAAAGGTCCACAACGTCATTGCACCACTGTACCTGAAAAGAGATGTGAACATCCTAGAGAAAGTCCAAAGGAGAACTGCAAAGGGCGTCGTGAACATGAGGCGAAAACCCCATGAGGACAGGCTGAAAGATCTAGGACTCTACTCTCTAGGTTAACGTAGATTACGTGGTGACTTGACAACGGTCCACAAAATACTAAGTAACCCAGGCCATCCGAACAGTAGAATCCCACCGAACGGCCACTGTGACGATCCTCGTGGTAACCCAAGGAGAATCGCCCAACAAAGGGAAAACGCCCGTGTGCGTCCACACTTCTCTCTGCGGGTTATCGGCTACTGGAGCGCATTGTCTGCCGATATTGTTACTGCTGTCTGTTGACAGCTTCAAGAAGTTGAACAGTTACGCGGTGGCGCACGGTTTGCGCTCATCAAGCTGGGACGTGGACAAGGCTGACACGACCCACTAACTCAGTACGGCCAGCCTATTATTGAATACGTTGTAACACCACTATCACTGCGAACTTGGCTCAACCTTATACTTCACTGTGGACGTCCAGTTACAGTCTCCCACTAATAAAATTACTATCTCTGTTCCCATAAGCCGTCCTACAATGTTATTTCCTCCCTCCCTTCCTACTGGCTCTACATTCTCACACTTTAATAAAAGCTCTCCCTACCACCCCTACCGATATTTCTTCTTCTGTACCGTTCCCACTTTCTTAGTCGTTTTTTCTATTGCTTGTTCTTCTTCGCACTTTCTCTCCTTTGATTTCTCTGGACATATTTTCCATCACTTTTCTTACAACCGGTCCAACCAATTGCCTACTGGCATGGCAGTTGAGGAACCCATCTGCTCCACAGTTCTTGGAAGAAAAACAACAGCACATACTCCCTACAAACTTATCCAACACCCAACCGCCCACCGGGCTAACCAGAGTTACAGCATTCGATTAGGTAGACCTACTTCACCTGAATCCACCAAAGACCTGGAACCGTTCCGCAAGGCCTAGAGGCGAGCGCGAAGAAATCAACCGGCTTATACTAGCTTGTAAAAAGATATTTGATATTGGATTGGATATCTGGAAAATGAATGCTAGATTAAGGTCGTTAGCCATGCTAGTGACCACTTGTTCACTTTAGGTCCAGGACGGGCATCATATCTGAGAACTTAGTGATCATCAGCAATGCTATTTCCACAACATAAAATATGAATACAACACTTTCACATTAGCTTATCAGTCTGGTATTGGCAATTGAACCCGTTGTTTAATTGAACTGGTCGGCCGCAGTTAGAGCTTTGTTTGTTATTACTGTAATCTAGATATCATCGGTATCTGTGTTACATGCCATATTACAGATATTCCAGGTTTCGTTCCCCTAGGCGCAGGTAGCTGTGCTTCACTTCGCTTGATTCTTGTTTTTCAGAGGTTTTTTTGGTGGAGGTAGAAGACTTCGATCTGTTGACTGGAGTGCTTACACCCTTGCAAAGTTTGAGAAGAAATTTTACCACGAGTGTTCAAGTGTTCGTGATCGTTCACGCAGAGATGTGGAAGAATTTCGTGCAAAGCACAAAGTTACGGTCCTTGGCCACAATGTTCCAAGACCTCTATTTAAATTCAGCGAGGCTGGTTTCCCTAGTTACATAATGAGTGTAATCAAGAAGAATAAATGGGAGTCACCTACTCCTATACAGTGTCAAGGTTGGCCGGTGGCACTCAGTGGACGTGACCTGGTTGGAATCGCTCAAACTGGTTCAGGAAAGACGGCTAGTTTCCTTTTGCCAGCTATCGTACATGCTAAAGCCCAACCAAGTCTAAAACGAGGAGACGGACCCATTGTACTGATACTTGTCCCTACAAGAGAACTTGCACAGCAAGTTGAGAAAGTTGCAGAAGAGTTTTGCTATTCAGCGGGGTTTAAATCGGCCTGTCTTTATGGAGGGACGTCAAGAAGCGGACAGGCAGAAGCTTTGGGCCAATCCCCTGAAGTGGTGATCGCAACACCTGGCCGGCTTCTTGATTTTCTTGAATCAAGGCACACAAATATGCGTCGCTGTACTTACTTGGTGCTTGATGAAGCTGATCGTATGTTAGATATGGGGTTTGAACCTTCCATAAGAAGAGTTGTATCTCAAGTTCGCCCGGATCGACAGACATTGATGTGGTCGGCGACTTGGCCCAGGGAAGTTAAAGCGTTGGCAGAAGACTTCCTTTATGATTATATTCAGATCAATGTCGGCTCCACTAAGCTGAGCGCTAATCATAACATTAGACAACACGTGGAGATCTTGAATGAAAGCGAGAAGTTCAAGCGTTTGGTTAGTCTTCTCAACTCTTTTGATAATGCTCGTGTACTTGTCTTCACCGAAACAAAGAAGCGAACGGATGAGTTATGTGAAAAGCTTCAAGATAAGGGTTTTGATGCCACAGCTATGCATGGAGATAAGCACCAAAAAGAGCGGGATCGGGCCCTAGACAGTAAGTCGATTTTTATCTCATCTATCAATTCTTAGTGTTTCGCGAAGGTCGCATATCTGTTCTTGTCGCCACTGATGTCGCATCTAGAGGATTGGGTAAGTATCGCACCTCTTAGCTTTTGTATGTTCCTAAACGACCACTGAGTAACTTTCTTCTTGTTCAACTATCACATGTCAGGGTGTGGTGGGTTTTGGCATCCTGGATTCGTTGGAGCAATTGGCTCCCTTATTGGCCTCTGGTTAAGCTGGTATAATTTGGTTTCGCCAATCATTTGGTCGTGTCTTGCGCAGAGGCTATGTTTGGTCGAACAACTTAACAGTTGGATTGGTACATTGGCTATAAGTATAACAAAAGATTTGCTGGGTTAAGCGAATCACATGAACATGTGTTTAATCATTCAATCCCAATGATTTTGGTCCACTGGATACATGCGTTCTAAACTGATTTCGGTAATTGATTGGTGAACGAGGTTTCTATCATTCCAATATCTGGATCGGTAAGCTTGGAAATATGTACTACGTCGCACAATTTTGGGATTATGCTGGTCGCTATAATTCAGTCTGGACGCATTTTGGGACCCAGAACTTTGGTATTCGTTCTGGACCCATGAAAACCACGCCACCTCGGCCTTTTGATGCGTGCCAGGTTGGTCTATCTGATTAGGCTTTCATTGTTGCGGAATTTCCTATGTATATATATGTAAACCTAACAGGTTGAATAAACTTTATAGTAACAGTTACATTTACTATTTCTAGATATTAATGACGTTCGCTACATCATCAATTATGATTATCCATCTCAGACAGAAGATTACATTCACAGAATTGGAAGAACAGGTAGAAGTGACAAGAAAGGAACTGCTTACACCTTCTTTAGTGCTAAACAACCGAGATTGGTAAGATTTACTTTGTTAATTCCACTATTGGTATAGGCTCGTGAACTAATTGATGTCTTGAAGGAAGCACGCCAAACAATCCCTGATGAACTATTTAAGATTGCTGAAGGGTATTACGTCGAAAGAAACCGGACATCTGGACAGTCTTGGCGTCGCAACAAATCAGCTTCAAGCAGAAGTCGAAGTTCAGGTAAAAGAAGTTTATCCAAGAGGAGTCAATCCACCACTAGCCACCGTTCTCGATCTGGCTCAACTCACAGTGGTACACCATATGGTTCTAGAAGCCCCTCTCAGAGTAAAGATTATCGTTCACGTGCAAAGTCTAAGAGCTTTTCACGTAATGGCAACGGAGCAGCTAGTGATGAGTCAAAAACCAGCTCACCTAGACGACGACGATCCTACAAGTCACAGACACCTCCAAAGCACAAAGATCGATCTCATTCTTCTCGATCTTCAAAGGGTGAGTACCGTGAACAGTCTACCTCTCGCCGGTCCAGTTCAGATAGAAGTCCGCCTACTCGAAATAAAGCCAGAAGTCCTTCAAGTCGAAGTTCACATTCTGACAGGCATAAGTTCTCACCACAGAGGGAAGGTGCAGCTCGTTCAGTATCTACTGGGGATCGGTCTTTGTCTGGTCGCCGCTCACAGTCATCAGTCCGCGGGTCCCGCTCTCCAAGTAGTGACACCCGGCGCTCGCATCACGAGTCAAAGTCGAACAGGTCTTCGGTCAGTCATCATTCTCACCAAAGCCCAACTCGAGACTGCAGCGAAAGTCCAGGACATTCACCTGTGAGGAGTGGTCCTGATATTGCTGACCATTCATCACGTTCGGTTGTCGATGTAAGTCCTGCTGATGGGGAGGACGATGGGTCTATAGGACATGATCATTCCTCAGTATCCGGGAAGAACGAGTCCATCTCGCCTCCCAATTCGAGGGATGTATCACCCCATTCACCAGCCAAAAATGAGAGTCCTAAAGCGAAGAGACCTCGAGACGATAACGTTTCTGGTCGACATTCTAAGAGTAAAAGTCGGTCGCAGTACAATGACTCCTCTAGAGATGAACGCTCCGGTGATTACAAACATTCAGCTGACTCCCGCCACAGTAGAAAAGACCGCAAGGAAGTTTATAACGCTCGTGAACGTCGTTCCCGTTCTTCAGATGATTACTCAGATCGCAATCGTCGAGATCGTTCTTGGACACCATATGGCGATGTTCCCTCTTACAGCTATAATTACAAGTTCAAGTATAATCCAAAATACAACCGCAACAAAAATTACTATCGTTCGCGTTCACGTTCATCGTCAGGTTGGCAGCCACGTGATAGAAGCAGAAGCCGGTCAGGTCGTGAACGAAGTCCGAGGAAAATACGAGATAATCGCAGACGATAGTTCATATTTAATCCCAATAAATGTCAATTACTGCATAATCAGGTTTTTTAATGGATTTCGCTTTCGAGTAGTTGAGTAATTGAAATTGTTGCGATGGTCCTATGCGGTGAATGAGAAGAAAGGTAGTGTGGGTGTTTCACTTTGTGAGTGTTTTTTTTTTACTGTATCTTAGTGTTGAACACTTGTCGTTTGTTAGTGGTTTCCAACTTATTGTCGTGCTGATAACCGCATTTCTGTGAGAAGAGTGAGGTTTAATGTACACGAGCTAAATAATAAACTCATGTGGTTCCTTGTTTCACTGAGCAGTTCATTTCGCGAAGGTTCGGTGAACCTGTTGATATCAGGAGCTTGATTACCAACTACATTTCTACTCTGTAGTCATGCATGTCATGGTTTAAATTTACATTTGATAAGTAGGTGTTCTTTCTGAACAGTTAAGGATTATTTTGGTCACACTTATGCAAGTGGGGCAGTGGTTGAACCGTCAACAGTCAGATGTCAAGACTTATTAACCATAGTTTGTCAGGTAAAAACGGCCACCGCAAGTAATTATAGCATATGAGCTACTTCATTCTTGCACTAACTGCGCGTATCGAGTAACGCAATTGGGGCCTAAATGTCGTTACTGTAAGTTGGGGAGTTTATTTTAATTGCAGAAATAAGCATTAAACATCCCAGAAGTATCTATTATTGGTATACCAGATGAGTTACGAGTTTGTGGTCACTTTGGATACGTATTCTACTTACGTGTTGCACGTAGATCCAAGCCACTAAAAACCGCTTTGGATTACCTTACGAATATCATTCACGTTTTGGACAGTGGAATTATTGTACAATCTGTCTTATGGAATATGAAGAAGAGAGATACTCCCCGTCTCCATTTATTGCATATATCCAGAAGTATTGACTAAGTGTTATTACGTGCACCGGACCCTGTGTTTAGGAAAACGTCAACACGGTAGGCCTGAAACCACGAATTTCGATCTAGTGGCTTGGTGGACTGTGGATCATTTCATGTACTGGATGGTTGTTAGTTTTACTTAGGGGTAAATCCTATTAGGTTTAAGATCGTTAAACTTGTAACGTAGTTTTTCATTTTCAAGCTGAGTATTATTACGAAGGGACTTATCGAGTTTCCAGCACACTGAATGACCACGTAGAACTTGAGTTTCTTTATTGTCTTCAGAATTACTACCTTATAAGGAGTTGAATAGTCTTATCACAAAGTGCTAGTTGAATTGTTATCAATTTGGGTAGTTGACGTCAGACCAGTAAACGGAACATCCTAACAATCATCATAGGTATCTCGGGGACCACATAAAATTTCTTAGGGCTCTTGATACTTAAATTTGTCCAAGTACATTTGATTCGTATGGGGATTTTTCTGGGTCTCTCCAGTTGTTGAGTGCTTCATCTATCCAGATCAACCTAAGACCAGGCGTTACTGCGTAACGGTCCGAGTTGCCACACCTCTTATCAGTACATCGAGTAAAAAGGCAATGAGGCGCGAGATGAAGATAAGAGAATGCAGTCAAAAGAAATATAAAGTACGGAAAGAGAGAAAAGAAGAATGAGAAAGTGCTGAGACTCGGTATAGCGTTAAGATGAGGATAATGTATGTATACATCTGCGCCACTGACATCGGTTCTCAGCCAGATCACCTAGAATCTCCAACCACTGGTTCCTCTTGTCCCGCCGACCCCGACCACCTAGTCTGCATCGCCCCACATGCCTCAAACCAACAGTCAAAGGCTTCATACATTGGTGCCATGTTTTAGTCTGGCCACCTCGGGCCTTTTTCTAGCCTGGGCCTACTTCAACCATTATGTAACGAGGCAGTCGGTGACTAGGCATACGTAACACGTGTCCCAACCATCTCAGTCGATGAAGGTCCATATCTTCGTCAACAGATTTACCTCTTCTCCCTAAAACTCTACTGACTTCTGCGTTACTCACGTGGTGACGCCGCGGAATACGGCGGCCTATACTACGAAGGCAACGGTGGTCAAACACCTGAAACCAGCCTTCTCATATCTTCCACCTTTGATGGCCATGTTTCGCAGCCATACAGTAGAACAGACCGGACTGCTGTGCAGTATACACAACCCTTAGTAGACAATCGGATATCACGGCGGCGCCATAGGTGGCGTAAATTGGCAAAAGCCAACCGAGCCTTTTGTATCCGTGCAGAGATCTCATCGGCAACTAACCTACCAGGGTTGATCCTACTTCCCAAATAAGTGAAGTGGTCAACACACTCAACCACTTCACTCTCTATTGTTGGCCAAGGGACCGTTGAAGACCAATCGTGGAGCAACAGTTTGCATTTGGGTGGTGGGAAACGCATCCCAAACATTCTCAAATTCCCACTCAGTGTTCAGAAGACTCTGCATCTTGTCAGCGTCTTCACCTAACGGGACAATGTCATCTGCATATCCTAGGTCCAGCGGAAATTCTCCTGTGATTAGGTCAACGTCTGTGTAATTAGGCGACGAGAGGGAAACCATAAGAAAATCTGTGATAAAATTGAATAAGAATGGAGAGAGTGGGCACCCTTGACGGACCACGTGATGAGTACAGCTCACCTGACCTCTCGCCATAGGCTCTAACACGCCCGCAAATGTTGAGTACCACTTATTTTATGTGATGCAAGGACAGATATTAGTTGCACCTGACATTGTCTAGTGATTTAGTGAGATGGGTACATGCTAGATGTCATGAAATTGTAGAGTATGAAATTTCAGATGGGTATTGTATTTCTAAATCCTTACATGTCGAGCTAAACATCTTTGTTGGGTCCCATGAAGTGTTAAGTTTTCTGAGAAGAGGAATTAGTTGATTTCTGTTAGGTGAGATGATCACATGTTTACGGAAGTCGGATAATGGCAGTTGTAGAAAGCGTCCTGCTTCCTTGGCCGTTAACACCCTCAGGTGTTTGGTTACTCAGCTTTTCAAACTCGGGAAGCTTCGTTTAGGCTTAAGGATTATTTTTCGTGATGGCTAAAGACGACCAGTATGTGTAAACACTTCCAACGACAAGTATAAGTAGTCTTAAAGTAGATCTTAGGATGTGAGGTACGTAAAGTAAGTGTGACGTAATGAAGATAAATGCAACCCAGAAGCTACACATGTGTTTATGCAGTAGGCAGTGAGCGACACCAATTGTGTGACGGCTAATCATACCACTCGACTGTTCTGAAAGCCGTAGTTGAAATGAGTTCCGAATTGGTAACGCGCTGGTGTAAAGTGAATTATCTAGCTCAGTGATCCACATCTCTACTGAATATTCAACAAAATGGATATGATATCTGCGTTTAATTGCTACGAAGGGGTCATTCATGGGGAAAAATCCGTGTTGGAGAAAATAGAGTGGAAGTTGTTGAAATGCTTCAGATATTCTTTGAATGAACTTGTCAACTCGTATTTTGTTAGTTTTTAATAATGTGGAAAAAATTACTGAAGGTTGTTGAGTAACCAATTAGTTGTGGCATAGATACTGACCATCATATCAATTTTGTGTTTGGGAAGGTATGTCTTATGGACTACTGTTTCTAACGTCTGTTTCCTATTGCAGTCTTATTTTTTTGTTTGTCTTGGCTTACCAGTTTTTTTTAACGCATTCAGTGTAGGTCGACCTTCAGTACTGAGCATCTAATTCTTCCAACATCTTTCAACTAGACTTTCGTCTACCGCATATTTAAGTAGTTTTCATTTGTATGAAATTTCAGTCTTTTAAATCACCTAAACTCCCATGTAATTCAGTTTTTTCTTAAAAATATGGTAGATTTTTATATACCGCCATACGTGAACCTTCCAAAAAATTGTCTAGGGATTTGTGAGGGAAACCTTCAGTCATTAAATGACTCCTCGTCTCTCAGACTATTTATCGTTTGGTTCACATCCCTTTATCTGCAAGGTAGGATTCATGCATATATCTAAGTGTATACATTCTTTGTGCAATGAGTATCACGGATATTCTGACCATCTAGACATTAAATTTGTCTCTGTGCTTTTTTTTACTTTAATTAAGATTGTGTAAATCAAAGAAAAATATTTTGTAAAATAATTCTTTATACATATTATTTTTGCTGCAAATGTTTATCGAAAGCATTGATATTTGGATTCACTGAACAATGAGAAGAGATTTCAGGTGGTGGAGCTGAGTAAAAGGTTAATGAGCCTGTTCTGTAGTGTCTTACAGGATAATAGACTGGGTTTGTGTCGTCACTGGTTGTCGGTGACTTTAGTAAACGAGGAAATTGAATATTTATATCTTTCATATTTGTAATCACTTCCGATCTGTTGGGTGTATTGATATCATAAAAACTCTTGCTAATAAGATTTAGATCTTTTGCGCTCTGAACACGAGGTCTTGCTTCCTGTTCATGTGAAAAGTATGTGCTGGATGACGTAAAATACTTGAAGAATCCAATGTTTTATTCTCTACATGTTCGTTATCAGTTAGCTGACATATATCATGAATAGATGCTGGTCTTTCCATATGTCCATAAGCTTGATCATATGCTTCATCGTAAACTGACCGACTATCTTGAAGATGTTCTGAATCAGATATTTGAAACCCTTCGTTTAGAGAGTTGTCTTCATCAACTCCATCGTCTCTTACCGGAGTACAGTTTTGCATATGATGCGAATTTTGTAGAAAATAATTTGTAGAATTTGTGTTGAAGTTTCTATAGTTAATATGATTTTCGTTATATAAGCTTCTTTTATGTCTATGAGGACTTGATGTGCTAATTCCATAATGCCTTATGTTACGACTGCTTGATCGAGGACTCATATTCACTCGGTGAAATGAAATTGTATCCCAATCTACATCTTTGGCACTTCTTCCTAAAAATTAGAAAAAGGAATAACTGTGTATTAAGTCATATCTGAAAGTTATATAAACTGTTAAATATAGTAAATATATTGTTTTCAATGTATATTGAATTTAAATATACTTTTTCCTGGCTTATATCTTACAATTTCGAGATTTAAGCAAGACATTGAAAGGTTATTTTATTTGTTTTATTATGAACATATTCTACTGTCTGGGATTAAATAAATGTTTAACGTTATGGCAGAAAATCACATTTTTGGTCTTGAATGGTACAAAAACAGGACTCTTGAAAGGCTGAGATAAATACTGTTGCGAAATTTCATGCGAAATGGGTACATATATGCAACGTGTTACCAATATATTGTTATACTGAAGAATATATTTTTATTTTAAAGAAAGGATAAAATCTCACTTATCTCACGGTGTTTTAATAACTTTCAACCCTTGCATAGGACTCTGAGGCAATTGTTTGATTCCAAGTTGATATTCATCACGCACTGACTTCAGTCGGGAAACTATTGGGGACCTAGGAGCACTGGGCAGCTTTTTCGCCCTCAGCAGTGTGCACTCGTTTCCCCGTCAGGGATCCAACCCAGGGCTTTCGAGTTCCATGATGAGCAGTGATCCACATTTCCTATGCCTGTCAGTTCACGTTATAGCGCAACCTGAATCCAATACCGTCATTGGGTAACTGTCTTCGCGTCCGATTTAGTTTACCCCACTGGTCAAGAATTCTCATTTGAACTTAGGGAATCTCATCTCGAAGCGAGTTATTAATGAGCATTAGAGAAATTCAATTTGGAGATCTATAAGAATTTATTTATCAGTTTTAGGTCGATATTCTTCACGGACTGGCACCAGTTGGAGTTGTTTTCAGATTAACCTACTTTTATCCATGGGGAATGTTTAGTGAGGAGATTGACTGCCTAAATACCATTAATCATCATAGTATTTTTGAGATCATATAACCATGGAACAGACAGTTATGGAGTGATTTCTATACCTTCTTTTTCACAAGCTATCATTTTAATGAGTGTTGCGTGATAATTCACCTGAAAATGCAAACCTAAGGACTAGGCATTTGAAAAATGAATGCTAAAACACGCTTGTAAATGTGTTCTAGTAAATTATTTCCTGGTTTTCGTCGAATATAAAAAAATAATCGATACAATATTAGTAGTTAGGTACTCTGGTCCAGATTTCATCTGATTCGAAAAGAATAACCGAATAGTTACATAGATTTATCGGATGATAATAAAATCTTCAGGCGATCTTCTTTGGGATTGATTAGATTAAAAGAATTGATAAGTGGAGGGTGGGTGGTGGGAAAAGATATCAACAAAACCTGTCAACCGCTTGCTTGTTAACAGGAAGTAAAGGAATATTAGATCACATTGAAATTGATAAAATAAAAATTAGAAAAACAAACCGATCTAATCATCGACAACTCCGTTAGTGGAAAGTTATACGTGCATAACGGCATGTAATAATTGATGGCCAAAACTTTCGGTTATAGTAATTTGATTACAATTTGAAGAAAATGAATTCATACTAATTTTATTGGTGATTTAATACTTTGTGGATACTGCTTTCTACCTTATGACTATTATTGATTGATTCCAACTACTTGAGGCTAGCGATAATCGTCAATTCTCTCATCCACTAGCCACATTAAAGGAAGTTACTTTTACAAAAAATTCTTTCTAGTTATTTTGAGATAACGAAGTTCACAAGATCACTTTAAATTTTAAACGTCTTCACTTCATAAAATTATAACGGAAATATCTACTGATTTAATTTTTCTCATATTAAACAGTATTCAATAGATCAAATGGAATGTTTTTAAAAAACCGGCACGTGTTTAAAACACATCTCAGGTTTGAATTTAGGTCCCAACAAAAAGAATTTAGAACAGACGGTTAGGTCAGTGAGACTTACGAAATCAGCATGTGTCTACCACCTAATCATGGTCATATTCATGTTTATGATTTTCAGCAGTTCAAATAATGACAGTAAGTTATTCAACCAGAAATCTAGGCTTTGTCCTAGTTGAAATAATGGAGGATCTTGGTTATGTATTGTGTTTTCTGAGCTGGGTGATTTGATCATGAAGCTTTTATTGTCTTTTTAAACAATTTCATTATGAAGTGAGCTATCAGTATTTCTTCGAGTTTGTTGTTATCGGTCAACAAAGTTTAACTGGAGAATTCGTAAACATATTTTTCCAGTAATATATATATATATCTTCAGGTAGTGGTTAGTTAATCATCCAGATAGACAAAATATGCATCTTATTTTTCGTTAAACCTATTTAACTACAGTTCTTATTTATTAACTTTTCTAAAAGTAGATTTGTACTTCTATATCTATACTTCCTAACTGTAAAACTCAACTTGAAATTATTGTATTTAAAATAAAGGCTTTCGTTAAAATGTAGAGTAAAACTAAAAAAAATCAACTTTTTCTCTATTGGTAAATTGAAAATCTAGAGGAGAACGTTACGATAGACACATTTATCTTAACCGAAAAACAATAAAATAAATTGTCGTTTATTGCTAACACAACTATGATGCTGGAATATCATTTTTGCTTGAAACAAAATGAATATAGATTTCTATCGGTGACTCAAAAATAAAACAAATCTCTAATATGTTCCAGTTGATAGGAGTACCTTAACTACGACGTTTAGTCAGAAGTGATTAATTGCTATATTGTAAGCAATATTGTAGTAGGATACATCAGTGGATGTTTTCGCCTGTAGCAGATGTAAACACGCTACGATTCTACGCTTATGCAATACCTACTTAGTCCGTTCTTTTCTGGTACATGACCGTAAGACATCACTGTTGAAAATAGGAGACGTGAATCGATTTATGGGTTTTGATCGTAGCATTGCTCACATGTGGTGGAATCACCATTTGAGCAATAGTAAGGTCAGGAGAAGGGTACTAAGCAAGACGGGCAAGTCGATTTATGAGGTTGTGAACCTTAGTCGAATGAGTTGACCACACACCCCAATCCACCGTCTGTGTTGATGTGCGATGCTAGGGGAAATTGGATAAGGTTGGTAAAGTGTTTGGGATGCCCAGGCTAAGATGTAGCACCAGTCGATGAAGTCTCTAACTGTTAGTCTGACTCATGTGGTGAGATGTTGACTACCTGGCTGGGATTCCTGCGACGACAGGAATCAGTAGTTGATGGACTCTTAGTGATATGGCTGAAAACCGGTCAGAATGGTGCAGTTGTTTTCGCTCCTTGACATCTTCTAAAGCTTGGATATTTAAAATAACCGTTATCTTCAAATCATCTACTCTCTTACAAAACTTTCTGTACCTTAACATCACTCTTATTCTATCCACCTGTTCTTTATGTGTTACTGTGGGGTATAAGAACTTGAAGTAGAGCGGACGTGTGCAAGTTTCTCCATTGATTTTGTCAGTTAGTCAGTCAGCCAAATGCCTAATTCTTTCATAGAATGAGTAGTCATCGGTGTCGAAGTTAGTAATTAACAATGGAGCGAAATATTCACGATGCTTTCAGCTAAGTATAAAAACTGGTATCAGTCTTTAAACTTGGTTTAGTCTAGATAGGGTTAGTCTAGATAAGTTTGATGCGAGTGTTTAAGAAAGGGAAACTGCCAACAACAGGTGTTGAGGTTGACGCTAGTGAATAATCGAAAATCGACATGAGAGATAGACAATGAATAATTAGATTATGTAGTGAAGGAATGATGGACAGTGGATAGCAGTGGAATCCAGAATGGGTATTTCGCCCTATTTGGAACTCGTCAGCAAGGTGTAGCTGCTTCCCGTGAGTGATGTTGTTCCTACCGGGACTTGGACTGGGGATCGATTGCTTCAAACGCCAGAGCGTTGTCCACTATACTACCGAGTCATGATATCCACTTCTTGTGTGACGGGTATAATTTTAGCGTAATTGCGGTATAATACAAGCAATTATACTATGTAGTGAAGTGTCTTCTAGTTTTAAGTAATCTTTGTTTCACAATTAGTTTCATGGAAGCTAATAATTGAGTAGTTCTTAGTGATGGAAATTAGTATTCACTCAGTTGAGTTCCTATTCAGTCGGTCTCATCGTTGATCGGAAAGCAGAATATATCGGTTTCCAGAATAGTTTTGTTTTTAGGGTTGTATTTGTTCACTTCTGTCGCAGAAAAATGACCTTAGAGTGAATCGAAAATTCTGTAACAGTTAACAGGAATAATTAACTAGGCATATATCAGGGTGATTATTACTACTACTATTATCCTCACTTAAATATTTATTGATTCTATTTCGTTTGGCCATTACATTGGCTTGTTTGACTAAAGTGTGTACAGCATCAGCAAAATTCAAATTTGACGGGTTTGTATGCTGATGATAAGCATTAAATTTATACTTTCCATATGAATAATCATATTCTCTTCTGATTTGTTTGCCTTTGCTTTGTCCACTTTTACTTGGAGAATTTTCAACCGATTGTTTGAACGATGGATCTATTACTGTATATTGACTATCTGTTTCAGGTGGATGAGGATAGAAAGTCAACTTTTGATTTTTATTCAAACTAGAATATCTGTTAGTATGATTGGGGTCCAAACTGATGTTAGTATTATTATGATAAATAACTGCACCATCTGGCATATTTGTATATACTTTAATTTTATCAACTTGTGAATTTCGTCTTATTTGTAATGTTGTAGCAGGATTATGCAGTTTATAATCATACTGATGATATGAATCAGGATAATATGTATAATCTGTACTCGTTGTAGCTGATAAAGAATTGATTGAATTTCTCAACATATCATTGTCTATTTGTTGGATAACTCTCTCACCGTCTTCGACATCTACATCATCTTCATCGATCAAATTTACATTTTCATGAATATTATCTTGTTCATATTTCTCAGCTGGTGATATAATAATATTTGGATGATTCTGTTGAGTATCATTAACATAGTTTTTATTATTCCCATTATTTTTTATTGTATTCTCCATGTACATAACATCTTTTAATTGTTGTTGTTGTTTGGTTTGATTTAATTTCTCTCTAAGTTCATTTGCATGATGTTTATATTTTGATGAAAGATCTTTAGGATTATTCTCCAAATGAATCTATGTAAATAAAATTCAATTGATAATAATTAATAATAATTTCAACTGTTTTGACTAAAATAGACTAACATTTCAGAAAAAAGGTGTATACAGTAGTTTATAAATCCTAGACTTTTGCTATATTACTGTTAAAATTTAATCGTACTCATGACAGAGGGAAATTTACTGTGGTAAGTGTTTACATATACTTTTACTGCAACATTTTAGTGACTTTTAGCTGGTATTCATCATGGACTGACACCAGTTGGAGGAACGTTGGAAACCTGTAGGCAGTTCACAACTGTTTCGTCCTAGTATGGGACTCCCTAGCAGCGCGTACCCATGACCCCACCAGGGATCAAATCCATCACAATGTCGTAAACTGACAGAATTTGGAAATATGGACCATTGGATTCCGACCTAGTGGCTCAATGGTAACTTGCTGACCACGGGACCTAAATGTGATGGATTTGATCCCTGGTGGGGTCATGGGTACGCGCTGCTAGGGAGTCCCATACTAGGACGAAACAGTTGTGAACTGCTTACAGGTTTCCAATGTTCCTCAAACTGATGTCAGTCCATGGTGAATACCAACTTGAAATCAATAAATCCCCACAAACCCTCAAACTGACTTTTACTGACTGTTTAGTGAGTGACTCGGTCTGTTTTTTGGTAGATAATTTCAGCAGCTTTTCATCGACTTCAAACAACTCAAAAACCGGTCTAGCAGTGCATCATCATCAACATAAGACCAGGGATTACTACAAAGCGGTCCACGTTGCCACACCTCATATCAGCACATCAAGTAAGAAAGCAGTAAGGTGAAAGATGAAGAAAGTGAGGAAAATCATTTAAAAGCAGTAAAAGAGAGGAAGAAAGATTGAGAAAATTCTGCATTCAGTATAGCGATTAAAATGAGGGTAAAGTGTGGATATATCTGCACCACTGACATCGATCCTGAGGCATTATTATTATTATTATTATTTGTCCTTTGGGTTCCTAGTGGAACATAAGGCTTCAGTAGCACGTCAGCATTTCACTGTCTTCTCTCCAGTCTTCAAAAACTGCCTCCACCACTGCTCACAAGCTTTCATTTCTTCCTTACACGATCTCCTCCATGTCACCCAAGCCTCAAACGCCCAAATTATCGTTTTCCATTTAAATTCCACTCGACGGCCTGGACTGGCTCGCGATGTCCCCAAATGGTCTTCTCAGTGTATGCCAAATCCGATCCATCTGCACTTTCTTATTCTGCATATTTGTTGGTCGATGTGTTGTTGGTTGGTTCGTTGCCAGCCAGAGTGAGTTGCTTGTTGCTTATTCTGGCCATCTGATTTTCAGTGTCAGTATCGAGTGAGCGTAGGCGGCAGCTATTGATGTATGTGCAGTTTGTTGAGAATGCTTTTCGTAACGCGTCAAGTCTGTGAAGCATCACATAGAAGCACTGACTTACTTGACTGAATTAGTGTTAAAAATCCGGATCTTGTTGTTAATGCTGAGTTGAGTGCAGTGGAGTGGTGTGGAGTGCAGTAGATCTCCACACTGATTTCAGGTTAATGCAGGAAGGTCTATCTTGCTGTGTTTCCGATCGTGGCTTGCTTTGACGTCCTCATGTGTGTTGCCTGTAGTTGAAATGATGCTGCTTAGGTAGGTAGGTAGGTAGGTGAAAGAGACAACCTCCTTTAGATTTCTCCCGTTGATGGTGATTACTGCTTGCTGTTGTTGTTGTCATTGTTGGTTGGGTATCTTCATCACCTTTGTCTTCTCTACGTTCACGTGAAGGAAGTCCCATCTTCTTTCCCCTGCCTATTGTGTCCACTTGTTAGTTTTCGCCTTTAGATCTTCGAGTTTGTGCGACATGACATTAGACAAAAATCATCATCGTTGTCAAAATTCAAATCTTCTAGGGTCTTTTCATCGGTAAAACAGAGTATGCCTATCTTCTCGCTCCTCACTTTTCGTTGCATGATCCAGTCCAGTCCAGTCCAGTCCAGTCAACCACAATCAAGAAGATGGTCGGTGATAGTAGGCGGCAACCTTGTCTTACTCTTCTCTTCACCACAGAGGTATTACCTAGCTTTCCATTGTGAGGCACTTGGCATGTAGCGTCGTCATATAGCTGTTGAATGAGGTTGGTAAAGGTTTGTGGCACTAAAACCGTAGTGTTGAAGCAGTTTCCAAATTACTTCTCGGTCGACACTATCAAAGGCCTTTTCAAAGTCAATGAAGTTGAGATAAAGGGTTGACTACCATTCTGAGGCGTATTACTTAGAATCTCCAACCACCGGTGTCTGTTGCCACTATCACCCCAACAAGCTAGTCTGTATCTCTCTACATGATTCGGGCCAACAGCCAAAGACTTCATGCAGTGATGTCATCTTTTAGTCTGACCACCCGATCCTTTTTCCAGTCTAAACCTACATCAGCTAGCATTGCACAACGAAGCAGACGGTGACTAGGCATACGTAACACACGTCACAGGCACCTGAGTCAATGAAGGTTTACAACTGCATCCACTGACTTTCCTTTCCTCCTTAAAAATCTACACCTAACTTTCGCTCAGTTACGTGGCAACTTCATAGTTTATTCTACAAAGGCAACGGTAGCTAAATGCCTGAAGCCTTCTGGTACCATCCTGTACCTTTAATGGTCATGTTTCACAGCCACAGTAGAACAGAGTGGACTGCAGTAAAGTAAACTCGACCCTTAATCGACAATCGGGTATCTCAGTGTGTTGACAAAAGTCAGTCAGGCATTTCGCATGCGTGAAGAGATTTCGTCGGCCACTGCCCCGCCAGGGCTTATCCGACTTCTCAGGTGAACGCACTCGACTTCACGTCCTATTGTTAGCCGAGGCACTGCTGGATATTATAGTGGAAGATGGATCGGTGATAAGGTTTTGAAAAGATACAGAAAATTCCATTTGTTCTCAGTAGTTGTCAGCTGTTTGACTGAAACTTATTTATGATAACCGTCCAACATGTTGGAAGAGGTTACTGTTACTATCAGACATCATTTAAGCAACACATATCTTTTTGTATTGAGACGTTTCAGTAGCAAGATCGATAATAGTGTATTCTGACCTACTCTTACTAGTACAACAACAACAACAACTACTACTACTACTAACCATAAAAATCACATTCGAAGTTCTTAGAATTTTGTAAAATCTATTTGTGGCGTATTAAGTATTTCGTTACAGTGGAGTCACTTTGACCTTAAATTGTGTCTGAATTATTGTATTGCATTTGTTATACACAGATAGATTTTGAGGATATCAGTTTATAACGGTTGAACTTAAAAGTAGTCCATTTAGATGTATTTAGTCATTTTTGAAGATATTTGTGTTTTCGCTCAGTCATAATTGGACAGAAATTTTCAATAATTTCTCTAATGCAATATCACTAGCCACCCTTTGTAATACTTACTATACACAGCCATACTTTTATCATATGGTTTGATATTAGGAGAATGGGGCTGAATAACTCAGTACTAATGTCTCCAACTGCAGTACTGAGTAACGCGGCTTCGAGTCTCATGCAAGACATCGATTTCGTCCAGGCTGCAGATACGCCTTGCTGATAAGTGTCAAAGGGCACGGGACCTAGGTCGAGCAGAGCTGTCTGCCTGTTGCTTCCATCCAATTATCATCAACGTAGAGATCGTCGTTAAAAACTATTTTGTCAGGAAGTATGTGTCCAGTTTTAATTCTTATGGTCAGGGCATTAGAAATATGATCTGTCTGCCTGTCTTCATTCCTTCTATTTTCTATCAAATGACTATCTTCATACTTTTAGCTTGAGGAACTAAGATAATAAAATTTTTCAAGAGAATAATAATTGACAAATCTTACATGGTTGGCTTCCATATTGTTAACTGATCGAAGATCTAGTCTACTGCCATAACGCGAATGCTCCATACTACAGTTTGGTAAACGGTTGCCACTGTGAAATGGACTTGAAGTAACACGAATGAAAAAAAGTAAAGTAATTTCACTTTCAATAAATACTGAAAAATCTCACTGACAACATATTGAAGATTGTATAAACTTTTATAGCCCATGAAACATCAAATGTATTCTACAATTAACGTTCATTCCAACTATCAAACTTCATTATTCATTGAATACATTTTTTGGTTTTTTTTGAATGTTAAGATCAACTTAACCGACAAATGTACTATATGATTAGTTGGGTGGCCATAGATTCGGCATTACACCCAGTCTTTGACATCGCCTCTATGGATTACCTTGAACCTGTAAGACTGAAATCAAGAAGACTAAATTTTATCGCAGACATGTTGATGGCACGTTTGTTGTTTGTGGTAATTTTAAATATGCATCTCAACTGTTCTAAAAATAATAAAGCTCATACTAACATCAGGTTTACCATGAACTTTGAGCATAGTAAGCAATTTAACTTTCGAGACTTCTGTATAAAATGAAGAGACGAAGGGACAGTTGAGAAAACTGTCTTCAGAAGAAGCATGTGAACCTGTGAATACTTGAATAATCTATCTCAGCTTTTTTCCGGTCAGTTACGAATGGAGTTCGGTTAGGACATTCCAGTAGATGAAGAGCGTTCTATTCAGTAGAGAAACTTAGAGAATTCACGATTATTTGAAAGAATCTTAATGAGGATCGAATCGCAGGGAAACTCATCAAGAAGTACGGAAAATGGCAGAAAGGAAAATCCATACCTGAAAGCAATGAAAACTAACCGGTTTCTATCTGTTTTTTATTCAGAAGTGATGACGTGTTAGCGGGAAGTAAGAAAAGGATCAAATGAGCATTAATTAGAAGTTTTTTGCAACTGCCTTGGTTTCACTTTATGGCATAAACTGTTAATTAGCTCACATTAAAGTTGATAAGTTTCCTGCTTATATCATCTCTAGCTTACATACGCTTACGTTATTAAGTACATAAAAAATACTAAGACTTGGGCAACTTTTAGATTTCTTGAACATCCCTCAAAAGTTTATGCCTTACAAGAAAGTTTTGACAAGGACTATCGACAAACGCTTAATGGATACAGGACATAAATTTCAGGTTGGTCACTACTTCGAATTCGTCAGTGTACAGAGAACAGCCAGTCTACTTAGTATTGTGTACAGACGGGAGCTGTAATTAATTTCACGTTATCTTGGCAGCTGTGCTTTAAGCTAGTTCCGTGATTTCCGTTTTCTTCATATAATTTTCACTCAGTGATTTATATTCAACCGTAACTTATCAATACTTGAGTTTGTTGCGTAATTCTTTTCTTTCTTAATATTATGTAATGTATATTAACCCTTATGTTGATTAGTTTACAGTTATCATGTCTCTATTTTTGCTTGTCATGCTGGTGTACTGTAAGTTTTAAACTTGATCTCTACCTGAAACAGCTAAATTATGTTAGATATTTATTTGATCAATGAGACTGTATGAGATACCTCAGGTTTGGCAGCCTGGTGTTACTGATACGGGTAATGATTGAAGGTGAGATGAAAATTTTGATCGAGGCAGGATTCGGATCAGTTACGTTTGGGTTACAGGACCGGTGCTCGATCAACTAAGCAGATAGGCCAAACGCTTGGTGGGTGCAAGGAGATTGGGACCTAGTCAGCAGCTAGGGTCTTGTGGCTCAATTAGTAGGCTGCCGGGCAGATAACCCAGAGGTTGCAGGCCCTGGATTTGATCCATGGCAGGATCTTAGGCGTGCACTGCTGAGAAGTGCCATACTAGGGCGAAACAGCTGTCCAGGTTCTGCCGTTCTACGCCGCACTAAGACACTAAAACGATGGATTTTATGATGTCTAGAATTATGCTATCATAAAGTTTAGAAACATAAATCTAAAACAGCGAATCAAAAGAAACGAACACCTACAAATACTTTAGACTTGTTGTTCGAGTAAACGTTTATTAGTTTTAACTCAGTTTAAGAATGAGGTAAATATTGTTACACTATCCAGTGTATTTATGTATTTATTACACTCAATCTGATTTACTCTTGATAGTAATTTACACTATTCATTTTTCGATATGATTAAACACTTCAATATTCACTACTAATTTATGAAGTTATTACTAATTCTTTTCAAAAGTGTACAACTTATTATGATGTAGGTAACAGACACTGTTATCTAGAAAGAAGCAATTCCACCGAGACAGTTGAACACCAATCTATTGATTTGCAAGATGTTTTTCAATATCAGATCGTTAAGACACTACAGTTTTAGTAAGTTGATAATAGAGGAGTCAAGTTCTTACATCTGAAGAAAACATTTGAAGTTACATTGAAAGGCACTTCCTTTTTGAAATAGTTGTAAATAGTATCAGCTCAAGAAATGGATGTTTGGATGAAGGTGGACACAGAGGTGACGTTGTTCGTGGCCCCTAACCTCGACGCTTAAAGCTATGAGTAAGGAAGATAAGAGTATTCGAGATAGTATAGAAGATTTGTAGCTTAGAATGAGGATTATAATTGTTTGGCATTCTCCGGGATTTGAGGTTTATTCTTCTGCGTTTCGTAAGCAGGCTAGGTTACTTCATGAAAAAGTCTGTGCATAAGTCGTTCACTTTTCAGTATCCTCTCAAAAAAAGATTATGATGTTAAGTGATATATCAATCTTTGGGCTCCTTAAAAATTAGTCATTGAGCCTTTCATCTCATAGTTACACGACATGTTTTATAGGTTAAAGACCAAAATTTATAGAAGCCAGTAGAAAATGTTTGCTTTGCTTTGTTTACTTGAAACTTTTTCCAGTAAAATAGTACAAGTTTGTTTGAGGAAAATAAATTTTATGTATTTTTAGTAAACTGTAAAGCCGGCCGATTCTGAACATGTCTGGATCTCATTGATTTTGATACTTATAATTTTGTTCTGCTTTATAGGGCCAAATTGCTCGACCTCTGTTGGTAGGTGGAGTTCTATGCAGATTCCTCGATACTGCCGGATATTCATTATGTTATATTCATTTTGGTGTCTAGCAGTGTGATCACCCTATTTGAGACTCATCAGCTGGAGGTACCTGCATCCCAGTAAGTGATGTTGTCTCCAGTGAGACTCAAACCCAGTACCCATTGCTTCAAAAACCAGAGTGTTATCCCAGTGCATTCTGGGCCAGTGGATAACTCTTTGGCGTTTAAAGTCATGGGTAATGGGTCCGAATCTCAGTGGCAACAATGTCAATCACTGAGTTACAGGTACATCCAGCTGATGAGTCCTCAACAAAACGAAACGCACGTTCTGAATTCCTCTGCTAGTCACTAAGTTGAATATAATGTCTCAGTCCCCATGTAATAAATTTTACATCAAGAATTTTGGAATTTTTAGCCGTTCCCTATATGATATCATTTAGGTAAAGTTTTTCTTCGATGTCAAAACCTTTTTCATAGTATAAAGCAATAAGTAAGCTATGCAGCTGAAAAAACTTACTCATGTCCCAGCATTTGAGTTAAACATGCTTCAAGTATAGGCTTCTGAAAAGAAAAGAGAGTTATTTCCTAGAGATACATTAATTACTTTTTAAATACGTAATTCAGAATTCATGCTGAGTCAATAACAAAAAATTATTTTTCAATTCAATTTACTTTTAATGAAGATACTTTAAACGACACAAAGGATATTGGGATGTTGAAGATTCTGTATGTAGAAAGATTCAGAATTTTATCAATCGTAGATTTGTGGTATTCATCTAAACATGCCTGAATGGACTCATTAACCCAGTGAATAAAGCTGTGGTGTATTTCAAGTGATGATTACTAGGTTCCGGCCTCAAGGAGAATAAAGTAAAATAACATGCGTTCAGGTACTCACACTTGATAAGTCTCCAAAAGAAAGAAACGCATTTCTTAAGTTCACCTGCTAACTATTGCCAAACACATAACATTACAATCAGATCACCAGTATGTTAATTCTGAAGTGATTATATTGAATACTCCTACTAAACAAGTTTTAGCGGTCTAATGAATTAGGTTCCCAACTTTCAGCCGACAAAACGTGAGTTAAAAGCTAACTTTACCTATTGGGGTTTCAGAAGTCAGCTATTAATACATCTCTAACGCAACGGACTTGGCTCAATGTCTAGTATGTAGGTATGGATTTCTTTAATGAGTTACTTGAAAATGGAAACTACAGTGATTTTTGAAAAGAAATTGAAAATTTTCTAGTGTCATTAACAGCCTTCATTACAAACCGATGCAAAAATTTGGAACTCTTGTCATGCCCTGTTTCATGAATTCTTGAAAGTAGACACCAGAAATTATCTGTGCTCATAATCTTCTTGCTTAAAGATACCTTCTAGGTTAAACTGAATGCTGAATTGACAAATAGAATGTTTGACTCAAGTGAATATCACTTAATGACTGGTACTAGAAATATCAGTCACATAAGATGTATAGAAGGTTAACCTATGCTTCATATAGTACCTTGACATTTTACGTCTGATTTGAAGAGACATAACAGACGAATGATTCTAATGAATTCCAGACTTGCACGAAATCACTGCGTTAAAGCATACTGATTTTCTAATCAAATCATCTTCATGCAAACCAAGTAAAATTAACAGTTCACTCATTATTAGTAAAACGCTGCTGCTAAAATAGTGTTAAAAACGATTTACTTTAATCCAGATTTATGCAGCCTTGTTTTCTAGATACTTTTTCAGACTACAAATAAATTCACTGGAAACACTTCAGTCTATACGGTAGAATAAAGACCGAAGGACTATCATATTCATCGCTTTTCTTCTATGTTAGCTACTAAGATATATCTTTGAATTGGGTAAATAACGGATAAATCAATTTTAAAAATGTTCAAACAACATCGAACTTGAAATTTGAACAGTGAAACAAAGACTGAGAACAACAACTTTCTAAATATTCTCATTTTGGTGAATGGGAACAATGTCAAACAAGTAAGTTAATGAGTTCAATAAAACTTACAGTACTTAGTTGATGCATTTTCCCTTTACTTCCATTGGATTTATTCAATTGCCAATTTTCGTAAATGAGTAGTCCAGCGTAAATCTTACCGACTGTTAGTCGAGTAAATGTATATTCTGTTACAAAATAGCAAATTAATGGAAATTTAATGCATTTTCTCTAGTGTCAACTGGCATTTGTTGATAAGATTGTGCAAAGTGAGTAAATACTTAGGAAAGTTACTTTGATCAATGGTAAACTGTGTTCAACGTCGAGTTTTTGGTTCTCATATCAGTTAAGCTATAGACCTAGTTGGCTTTGTTGTTATTGAGTCTCGTTAACAAAGTATTCCTTCAAATTTAACGAGACGAAAACTCGAATTTTAGGTTTTTATTAGTAAATTCAACTTTTTAGTCAGAACTATTATAGTCTGGATTATATCAGGATAAATCATGAAACAGAACTAAACTTTTCCCGGTTTTCCAGTAATTTTTACTGACAAGTGTAGATTAGTGACGCTAAGGTCACCTGCCATTATGAATTCATCTGTACGTTTTGCTTTCTGTAACAAAATTGACAGGTTCATCCTTTGCATCATGCTAACTGAAGTCGGTGGCTGCACAGGTGGAGATTACAAATAAGCATCAGTCGGTCTCATGATCTTCTCTGGTTCTTACAGATCCATTCAGTCGAACAGTACATAGACGGCTGTTTACCGGTATCCAGTAGAAGAACTCACTCTCTATCTTGCAACTCAATGCTATGCTTGCACCCATGAGTCCATGAGGTCGTTTAAGGTGAATTTTAAAGATTCACTACTGTGGCCAGGTGAAATCAATTTAATAACCACACTCGGATCATGTTTAGGTGTTTAGTAGACATAGCATACACCCCTTGCTAAAGATTCCAGAGTTTTGATGAGCGATGCTAGCTGTCCGATTTCACATAGAGTTCGGACATTGAAAGCTCCAATGTGAAATTGACAGTGGAAACGTAAGAGACTAGAAATGAGGTTTCAATGGCTTTGATCGCTGTCGGTGGTTGCAGAATGAGAGGTTAGGTAGGGAGTAAGCGGTTCAATATTCACATCAGGAGGTGAAGGCAAAGGGAAGGCTGAGTTGAGGAGGATAGGTTATGTTTGATTGGGTCTTTTGAACTACTCGAAGCGTGTAGGCGTTCGACACTTCCTGGCTGCTCACACTATGGAAGGCTATTTCTTCTTAAGAGCCCAAGGGACATCTGCTTGAGACTTGTCACGCACGGCCTTTTGCGGGATGTTGTTTTCAGATTTGGTTGTTCTAGCGCCGGATAGGAGAAACCCATAATACCAGCACCGGAAGACCGTGAGGCAGCCGGAGTGTGCTATTTTCGTGACCCACCTTTTCTAACTCTTCCCGTTTGGAAGGCAGCATAAGTATGGGACTGCTGGTCATACTAGGGAAATACTTCACTGTTGTTACACCCCATCCTGATAGCAGCGGTAGGACCTCGCCCTCAGATCCTCATCATAATGTAGTAATTTACACTACAACGGTAACCGCCTTTCGTTTTGCCACTATCCAACAAACCTTTCTGGCACGGTAGAACCTTGATAGAACAATCGTTCCAGCCAGTTTGGCTCTTTGGATCATTGTGGTATGCGAGGCTGATCCCCACTTCAAGGTAGACGCTATCGGTCGGGTTTGCTGATTCAATGTCTTATTAAATCATATACTCTGAACTATTACGATAATTCTAGGTGTTTATTATCCGAAAAAAATTAAATGGATAATCAATGACTCTGTTTGCTGTGGTATGGAGTGGGTAGAATTCATACAAACTTTCCCATTCTCTATATTAAAACGAGCTTTAGTTTTAATTACAGGTTTCTATTCTTAGTTTTCCTGTGAATTTAATTTCGCTTAGAATAACATTTCAAGAGGCATATTACTGTTTTTCCCAAACTGTTGGGTAAACGTTGAACTCTAAAGTCAGATGCTTGAGTTCTGTTGAAACAAAACTGTGTATTGAACACTGATCAATGCAAAAGTGTTTATTGAATGCATGTAGTTAAAAGAATTCGGACCCATGAACACATGGTATTAGTGATATTTTGTCTCTGACACAAATTGGAAGAAAGTCTTAATGCTAAGCATTCATTCATTAAACGAATAGCATCGGAATATTTCTAAAGGTGATACTGAATTTAGTTCAGCCAGCAAATTTAGGGTTTGAATTTCTACCTACCTACAGATTTTTACAGCTGGTTAACATTATTGGCCCTCCCAACATTTTTATCGATGATAGTGCTGTACATGAACACGTACATAATCATCAGTTTATATTATTATTGGCATTTATCACTGACTGATATCAACCAAGGAACCATTGAAGACGTGGGAGCACTGGAGAGCTGTTTCGTCCTAGTATGAGACTTCTCAGAGGTGCGTACGCATAACCCTCACAGAGATCGAACCAAAGACCTTCATGTTTCATTGCGAGGAGGTTACCGTTGAGGCAATGGGTCGGAATTTGATGGTCCACAATTTCTCTTTTCAGTCCGTGATATAATGTAACCTTCATCCAGTGTCATCATTAAGTATTTCTCCGTACTTATGACTTGGTTTATCCAACCGGTTACTACTTCCCATTAGAAATTGGGGAAATCTCATCTCGAACCACGTCGCTGATGAAAACTGAAAGTTAATTCTCTTCACAGGTTAGTGGCAGGCATGTTGATTTCAACTTCAAATCAGTAAATCCCCACAGACTGAAAATCGAATTATATCATCATGATTTGAAAGTCATGTATAAAATATTATTCACTAACCATAATTGCAGCTAACAATAGTACAGTTTCAAGCATTCACCAACTGTATAACGCGTTCCTAATAAACCCATGACGTTTGGATCTTTTTTCCTTACCTGAATCAGGTGGTAATAACAGGTCCAGTGATCTTTTCGCTTGAACAGGCCATAAAGTTTTAATAGTTTCACGTAATTCAGCGTCTTTAGTATCCATAAATTCAGCTGGTGCCATTTTAATACCTAATGATTCACGAACCAGAGCAAATAGTGTAGTTGTAAAATGCACAGTTCCTGTACTGTCCACAGGCATATTCATTCGAATTAACTTCTAAATAATGAGTAGACAAGTACAATGAATAGTTGAATCATTGAATAATATGATTTAAAAACTTTAATCGTCAAAGTAAAACTTGTTGTCCTTGATAGACATTATGCTTGAGTAGATCGGTTAGTTTTCTTTATCAAGCACCTGTAAGAAAACAACATTTGTCGGTGATCATTGATTTGAATTTTCATTTTCAAGTGGTTTCATTTCATTGGTGTACTGAAAATAAAATGGCGGTTCGCTTGAAGCTTGGGCTATCGAAATCTTCCACTGAACATACATATCAAATTTTTTCCTTTCAATTTGTTCTAATCCTTGAAATATGTCCTCTGAACGTACCATGTGTAACGCACTCGAAATTTTACTCATTCACTTTCAAGTTTCTATTTCTAGACTGCCTCATCTCTTCGTTGTCAAGCTCTACAATTTATCAGTTATCTGTGATCAATAAATGTAAGTACATTCCCTGTGTTTGCTGAGTCGTCGGCTCACGTTTTTTCTTCTTTTCCCTTCCAGATTCTTGTGGTCAGCACTAAATTCACACTGCTCCACTCACCCCCTTACAACAACTTACCTACCTACCTACCAATACGCTAGAAGAAAACCTATCAACAGATGGTCGTTACATATTTTTAAAGTGTTTTCAGCTCGTGGTTTATCAAGCTAGTAACAAAAACAGAGAAAAAAGTTTCACGTTGTATGGAAGTGGAACTTTCAGTGCGCAAAAGAATATCCTATTTCTATTCCTTAGATACTTAGCTTGAGTTACAGATTCTTGTACTGGCTGAATGAACCACAACCACTAAACTTAAATCTTGAATTTCTGTTGATTCTTCACTGCAGACCGGATGCTAATCCAAAACCAGATGGTTGTTTCACATTATTGGGTTGAATACTTTTGTTGTCAACATCATTCAGAAGCAATAATCATTTTGACTATCTGGGCTAGCCGTGGTTTGTCAGACTAGTACTGATACTGGGTGGTGATTGAAGGTGGAATGAAAACTTGGACTAGGGCTAAAGTCGAACTGGTGACCACCAAGTTTCCGGCCCGGTGCTGTACCAACTGGGCTGATAATCAATATGATGCTCCCTCTCTCTGATTCAGTTAGATTTGGATTTGGATGAGAAGTCCTGACTGAGGGAAGACAGTGTGAGTACAACCAAGCGTCTCGTCGCATATTTACCTATCAGTTTGATTGTCTGGGACAGTTGTGATTTAGTACACTTGTATTGATAATGGGTGAGGATTGAAGATGGAATGATAATTTGGGCCGAAGCAGTATTCGAACCAACATCAATACAAGTCTGCCAAACCACGACTATCTCAGATAACCAAACTGATAATCAATAGGATGCTCTCCCTTTCTAATTTACTTTGATTAGGATTGGGATGGGAAGTGCTAGGTGGGGAACCAGTGTGAGTACGATCAAACGATTGTAACGCATCACTAATTCACTTGGTAGTCGGACAGAACCTCTGGTTGTTCAAGTGACATTAAGATGTATGTGGCAGTTGGATCTCATACCTCAGTTGGCAAAGCACTGGGTCGGTAACATATTTACTCGTCAAGGTATTTTATATGAAGAGTGAAAACAGCGTGGGGTAAATAAATAAGGATAATATGGGATTTAGGAGAAATAAGGATAATAAGAAGGGGCAATACACTTTTACACAACCTTTCTTGGCATTAAAATGAGGAAAATATTACCGAGGAAGGCTTAAGGTAAAGACAAATTCATTTTTGGGCTTTGGACATTCATATGGCCAAGGCTTTAATGAATATAAGTATACAGACCTGATGGCTTTTATATAATGGTCTGAAGGCTGTTTAGAGGTCAACTGCATGACCTATTCGTATAATTTATTTACCTACAAACACTGACGTCTTCCTACTTCTTACATTTATCGGGCTCACCTTTCATACAAAATACCTTGACAGATAAAAGTGTAACCAGATTGTTCGAAACCTATTGCGCAAATTTATCATATTTCTTAGATAACCTCCATCCTCTGATTACATTATATCAATTTTCAAAGTATTATTCTGATTTATTCTAAAGTTGATGATATCTCTCATCAATCATTTGCTTCAAGTGTAGAAAAGACCTACTTTGAGTCGCCATATTTATCCTGTTTATTCGTCACCAGGCAGTTTGGTGTGTTGATGAAAGTCCTAGCAGCCATTGACTTGGTGGATATGGTATGTGCAGAATTACTATTCCGATATCTATCCTATGTTGGTTTTCTGAATACATTTATCTTCATTTTGTTGTCATTATGTTATCTTTCAAACATGGAGCTTAGAAAAATCTAGTGGTTTAAACTTAATTTGCCTTTTCTGAACTATGTAATGCTTTTCGATAAACCATTTATGTGTGCTGTAGGTTCATCCAACCTACCGTGTTTAACGATAAAGATGCATCGTCAATGTACCTGAACCGAATTCTCAGAGGAACAGACAAGTTTATTACTACATTATCGCATAATCCAGACTAGATTGGAAAAAGTGATGGACTGTATGATTTTGATTTGATTTACTACTCATTATATTGTTATTTTGGTTGTTTGTATGAAGAGGCTTGGATTGGATTTCTAAGTGAAACGTTAACGATAATTTTTTCTTCAAATATGCAAATTTTTATAAATTCCAGTTAGAGAGCATTGCAATTGTTAGCTGTTTCACTGTAGTGCGCTGAATCGCACCGTATCGCATTTAACTGTAACAAAATTACCAATGACCAAAGTAACAGTTCGTATCACTATAATTATTAGTATTTAAACTTGCTTTATAGGCTAGTCTGTATGGACAGTTTTGACCGAATCCAACAGGAGGTTCCAATTTTCGTAACATTTCATACATTTCTGTATAATGTATTCTTCCTCTGTGCATTAAAAAAGAAGATGAAGGAAAACAATTTATCAGGATACTTTTAAACAGTACTTGGTAATTAACGAAGTTTGTCGTTAAAAGTTTTGTACTTTGAAAAATGCTTTATATTTTGAAGGTTTGTGAATAGTTTTTGGTTTCAAGTTGACATTCATCATGGACTGACATCAGTTGGGGAACCGAAATCGAATTACTATCTAGTGACAAGCTACAAGATGAGATTTTCCAAATTTCTAGTGAAAAGTCATAATTAGTGGGGTAAACAAAGTCGGACGTAATAGAGAAATGTGAACCAATATATTCTTGCTAAGTGGCTCAGTGGCAACGTGCTCTCCATGAAACCTAAAGATCATATGTTCGACCCCTATCGGGGTGGTTGTTAAGTAGTCCTGGGGCATCATTTTACAGATGGTAGATGCAAGACGCATGCCAAAACATATTCAGATTTCTGCTCAAAAAGTTAATGAAGATGATAAATATTCTACCATTATATAGTTGATTTCAGGTTAGAATTGATCGTGAACTGTCGTCATTTGAAGGAATATTGAAAACTTGGGAGCACTGGACAGCTGTTTCATCCTACAGGACTTCTCAGTAGTGTACACTGATGACCCTAACTGGGATCAAACCCAGGACCTTCAGGCCCCTCGTTACGAGTGAGCAATTGGATGGGAATCCAGTGGTCCGTATTTCCTACTTCTGTCAGTTCGTGATACAGTGCGACCTCCACCCAATGCCGTTCTTGAGTAACTCCCCATAATCAACTATATATATATATATATATATATATATATATATATATATATATATATATATATATATATATATATGTATATGAAAATCGGAACATCGTCCTTATCCTAAAGTAATTAAAGTGTTTATTAGTGCTGAAAGTGATCAAAAGTTATGGTAACAACAAACAAAGTTAGATTTCAGTGACCTGAAAATACAGAACTACTTAGAATGACTTTAAATGGCAACGTAGCAACTATTGGAATAACCAGTCAGGTTTCGATATTTCGGATAGGATGTTAATTTTTCATGAAACAGAGAACCGTATTTGGATGACCTTTAAACATATTCACTGCTTAAATTATTGAGTATTATTCAGCAAACCACAGAAATCCAGTAAAAGCCATTAAGTTGTTATTCATCGAAGACTGACATCAGTTGGAGGAACAAAGGAAACCTGGGAGCACTGGACAGCTGTTTCGTCCTAGTATGGGACTCCTCAGCAGTGCGCACCCACGACCCCACCAGCAGGGATCAAACCCGAGACCTTCAGGTTCCGCGACCAGCGCGTTACCATTGAGCCACTGGGTCAGAATCCAATGCTCCATATTTCCAACTTCTGTTAGCTCACGATATAGCGCAAACCGCCACCCAATGTCATCGTTGAGTATTTGTCCTCATGGCCATCAGGCTTTGACTCCACCGGTCACGACTTGTCATTGGAACTTCGGGAATACTTCTCGAAGCTAGTCACCAACGAGCACTAGTTCAATTAAATTTTGAGGGGGTTGTGGAGATTTGGAAATATTTCTGACCCAGTGGCTCAATGGTAACGCGCTGGTCGCGGAACCTGAAGGTCGTGGGTTCGATCCCTGCTGATGGGGTCGTGGGTGCGCACTGCTGAGGAGTCCCATACTAGGACGAAACAGCTGTCCAGTGCTCCCAGGTTTCCTTTGTTCCTCCAACTGATGTCAGTCTTCGATGAATAACAACTTGAAATATTTCCAAATCTCCATAACCCCCTCAAAATTTAAAAGCCATTAAGTTTGAATAACGAATTGGGTAACGTGACAAAATAATCAATGAATAAATCGTTATCAAGGTGAGCATAGAAACACGGCTGAGTTGATGATATGTAAGAAATGAATAGAATAAAAGAGTTCGAAGGAAGTGGGATATTTTAAACCACTAACGATTAAGACTATGAAAGTAGTAAGGGCTAAACAAGTACTTTTTGAATGCAAAGCTCTGGGTTTTCTATTGGAATTACTAAAGATTCAGCGCATTATCGTCATATACATGTGTTTTTTTTTTACCCAGAATGGTGTTATCTTTTGGAAAGATTCAATCTTAATGTTTTTCAATATTTTGAAGAGGGATTTTAGTACAGTGTAAGTCCCCTTGAAGAGATATAGAGACACCTTGTTACTGATCAGAAAAGGGCTAAGTAATAAAATCGAATCTTGGAACTGCGTTGCAGTTATTTGTACTTCTGTGACAATGAAACTCATTTTCTTGATGATCCCAAACCTTACAGTAATGACTTTCTCAATTTGGAAGTTTGTGGGGATTTATTTATTGGTTTCAGGTTGGTATTCATCACAGACTGAGATCATATGGAGAATTATTGAAAACCTGGTAGTACTGGACTACTGATTTGTCGTAGTATTCGACTACTAAACAGTGCACACCCATGATCCCATCAGGGGTCGAACCCTGAAACTTCAGGTTCCTTGGTGAGCACGTTGCCATTGAGCCACTCCTCTGCATTCTCTTACTTTTGTCAGTCTGCGATGTACGTATATACACGTATTTACCTTTGATCACTGTGCTCCATGGGAGTTATCTTTCAGAGTCATTTATAAAGTGAAGTCAAACATTTCGCCACCTCAACACATCAGAGGCTTTGCCGTCCCAGAGTTATAGGCCTGGTCTTTGTGTTCAAACAAGATGCATTCAATCTCTAATTTTGCCCTGATTGTAGTCTTTCTAAGACAGTTTCTGATGACCCTGATCTGACCTTCTAGCCGTTATCACCTTGTGGCCGTTTTTGATGACCTTGTATTGACGCATTAGTGATGGGTATATATATTTTGTTGTAACTATGATTAAGACGCACAACTCTTGGAAATGATTCGTCGAAAAAAAATTTCCTCGTTGAATTGTGTTTTATAAGTTTTTTCAATAACTATTTCATAATATTATTTCAGTGTGGATGTATTAGGAATAACAGCAATAGAATTACTACTTAGGAGATTGCATTCATTCAACCTGTTAAATTATTATCACAGATGTTTTCGTTAAAAGATCTATATACTTTATTAAATCACCCAAACACAACATAGTTTTTCTCTTTAGTAACTTTCATAGTAACTATGCACGGCGAAAATATTTATTTATTTTCTTCGACAAAAGTGTTCCGCGATATTTTTTCTTCAGGGAACATTTTATTTTTCGGGCAAATCTGAAGATTTATAAAAGGAATACAATTTTAATGATTAAGTCTGACGTCAAAGTGAATCGTTTGAAAAAAATGTACTTTATGGTTTCCGTTTCCCGACAGAGATGTATAGCATACACGTTAGAAAATAATACTGACAGAATAGAATACTTTAAATAAATGTTTCATGTTACCACAGCTAAGAAGTGTGTAATTATTTGTAAAAGACGATTCAGTATTCATTTGAAAGATTATGTCTTTCTATATTCTTCACGAAAAGGTATTTAATGCATATCGTTTTTGAGTTATATCTCATACTACAAAAAGAATCATATCGCCCAAACATGCAATATGTTAAATATATCACTAGGCTTACTGACGAAACTGATTTCTAAAAGTATTTTGTCTCCAGGCTCAACTCTTTTTTCATTAAGGAATAAGACAAGAGGTATTGACGTGTTCATGAGCATAAATAGATAATGGTTTAAAATTTTAAAAATCTCATCTGTTCACACTAACCATAATTGAGGAAGTGGGTAAAATTTTATTTTACATATTGAGCTTTATGGAATTATTCTAAAAGCTTACTGTCTCTTGTCGTCTAACACTTGACAGTAAAAACTAAGTATCTTTTCCTTGTAATATCTTCTAAATGATTAACAAAAGACCTTTTTCCATCAAATCTCTGTTGTCTAGATTTTATTGAATAAAGGAATGATATGGTCAGTGCTACTGAAATTTCTATCTGTTGTGAAGTCGATGGTATTACACAGACTATCTGACGTTTACTGGTTTAACACACCCTTTGCAATATAGGTTAAGAAGAGGGCAAACTAACTGAACGATTAAGTGACGCCCAAAATTAAAGACAACAAATAACCGATCAAAGAGTATACTCTGTAACACCACTCCTTTCATTTGTAATAACCGCGAAATGCTTTACATTTACTATCTATGAAGGCTTGACTGCAAAACTGTTATTTTAACCAAGTGAAGGACATCTTTAAAGAAAGATGCGTCCTGGTGTTCCGGTGGTCTAGTGGATAACTCTGGGTTTTGAAGCTATCGGTACAGAGTTTGAGTCCTAGAGGGAACAACAATGTTCACTAGGAGGCAGATACATGCAGCTAATGACTCTTAAATAGGACGAAACATACTTCCTGGGTTCCACTGCCAGCCACTGTACACCATTAATATTAACAGTATTGCTTAGTGATTTTGCAATTCTGCATAATGGTATCCATCAAACAACTATTCAGTGTTATCTATTCATGCTTTCTTCTTAGTTCTTATTCAGAGATGCTTATTACACCGTGTAGTATATGTACATACATCATAGTTTGTCGTTCCATATAATGCACAACTACACTCTTCTATAGATTTTGTGGAACGAGTGTTTACTAATGTCTGAAAAGCTGAAATTATTTCAAGGTAGTAAACCAGAGGAATCTTGAGCATTATCTGTATATTAATTAGACGCTAAATAAAGGGGTCATTCTTATTAAAATACTCATTGCAGTTATGGTACGGTAATGGTAGATGTGTATGTCATGAAATGTATTTGCTTCTTAAAACTTATGCAACTACAATAAATGACTTATATCTTGCAATCTGATTATTCAAAGCCAATTTTTTCGGGAGTAAGTAACCAATGGTATAAGTTTTGCAGTGGTAGACTATCGAGTTCATTAATCAAATGGAGTCTAATTCCCACCGACTAAATGGAATGATTAAGAAACAATGCTACTACTTATCACCAACTGATTTCTGGTTGGTAGATACCTTTGAAAATAAGTATTGACAGTAAAATTCGTAAGATTTTA